TCTCTTTAAATTATAGATGTCAAGTATTGTGTCTCAGAGACAAGAAAGTGACCAAGACAGATTTTGATACTGAGAGTGGGGTCATTTCTGGGAATGCACCTGATAGTGTGGTTCAGTGGCCTTTAGAACTGGTTCTGAGGAGGAATTTTAAAAGGCTTAGAGAGGCCATGATGCCCTAGAATGTGGTAATCTGAGCTTGATGGGAAATTCTGGCTGGAGCTCAGAAGACCACAGTGTCAAAAGAAATGCAAAAGATAAAGGTCAGGTTTCCAGAGATTTCATTTAGGAAGAAGGATTTCACTGGTGTTTAAACTCTATGCCACATGTATTAAGCTCTGGCAGAAAACCTCTACATTTTGCTTGTGTCCCGAGATTTTCTGAGACAAAGGGCAGCAGACTAATTAACCTGGTAGAGGAAAATATTAAGGCAATCACATGTTGAAGCTATAGCAGCTTTACTGTTGGGATGGGGTGGAGGAGCTTCCAGCCAGCTCAACAATGAGAACCAAGAGCAAACAGCAAAGTTGAATAACTTTAAAGAGTTTAAGTATCACTAGAAAAAATGCTCTGGTAAAAACAGGAACTGCAAAGTCAAAATGAAAATGCACAGAGAAGCCAGGAATTTGGAGCAACCAGGAACACAGAATATCTGAGAAAAGGCCCAAGTAATGAGCAAAACAAGCCCAAGAAAGAAGCCATGAGGACTACAACCCTAGTAATGCTGCTGTAAGAATGGGACCACCCAAGCCAGGTGGAGTTTGTAGCGCAACACAATGTCCTAGGTACTTGACAAGGAGCTACAAGCTTTAATATTTGCTCTGCTGGGTTTTGTTCTTATTTTGGTCTCATTGTTTTTGTTTGTTTTGTTTTGTTTTTTGTCTTTTTGAGACAGAGTCTCGCTATGCAGTTTGGGCTGGCCTTGGGCTCAATTTGTAGCTCACGCTGGTCTCAAACTTGCAAAGATTCTCCTGCCTCAGCCTCCCGAGTGCTGGGATTACCAGAGTGCGGGCACCACACCTTCTCTAGTTTTTATCCTGCTGTTTCGCCCTTTTCAAAATGGGAATGTTTATCTTGTGCCATTGTATGTTGAAAACGTTTAACTTCTTTTAATATTTATAGGAGCTCATAGTGGAGAATTTGCCTTAAGTCTCAGAGAAGACTTTGACTTTGTCTTTGAAGCACTGATGGAACTATTATGAATTTGGCAACTCTTAGAGATAGACTAAATGAATTTTGCATAAAGGGATGTGCATGAGTCTTTTGGGAGACAGGTGGAGGATGTATTGTCACGGTTTATAACTGGATACCTCATGAGCTCACTGGATTATGGGAGTAGTAGAGCTGACTTGTGGTAGCAGCTGGGATCTGGCTGGAAGAGGCAGGTCAGGGTGGACATGACCTGGAAGGGTGTATCTCCCTTTCTTGTTTCTCCCTTGACTTTTTTGCTTCCTATCCGCCATGCTGTGAGCAGTTCTCTGCAATGCCCCTCTGCCATGCCATCTTGCCCCATGGCCACGCACTGAAACCTCTACAAACCATGGGCCAAAATAAACTTCTCCTTTTTTATTAATTGTAAATACTGAGCTTTGTATATCACTTCAAGAAGGTAACTAAGAAAAAAAATTGGTATAAACATAAGACAACTTAATCAGTCTTATCAAGAAACCTATATACTAATGCACAGAGTAAACGGTATCACTCTACAATGGGCTTACTGTTTGAAAACATCTAAGCATAAAATCTTTTACAATTCTTGTCATCAACAACTGTTCTAAAGGAGAGAGAATCATGTAAATATTGTCAAATCATAGACATAATTTACTAAGAAAAAAGATCATGAGAACAGAGTTTGTAATTCCTAGATCTGTCTCTCAGGCAATTTTCCTTCTTAGGTTACCCAGTAACACAGGTAGCAAGTACTTTTTTCCCTTCACACTAGTAGTAAGTAAATTCTTATCACTTGTTACAAAAGAATCCTCATACAATAGAACAAAATAGCTAAAAACAAAAATCAAAAAGATAGGGAATCAAAAATTGATTTTTAATCCTCACTGTATAATTACAATATAAAAATATAAACTATTTTCAAGAACTTGCATGGCTTTTATTTATTCATCCCTTGATAAATATGAATTATACAATAGCTCCTCACCCTACCTACATCAGGAATTATGTAAAAAAAAAAAAAAATTGGCTTCAGCATACAATCCAACCCTCAGCATGAATGAGGAAGATACTGTGTGTTATAATAGACCGCATCACATTTGGTTCTGCAGATCCTCAGGTAAAATGATGGCAGAATAATCTAATTTTGAGTGATCTTCACATTACAATCAGTTCTTTTTAACAGGAGTCCTAGAAACTGATTTCCACTTTTACATAAGTCTAATCAGTTTTCTCCTTTTGAATTTTTTTTACGGTTGTTCAGGCTTTAGATTTTTTATCCAACCATGATTTTACAAAGATTTCTACAACTACATGATCAACATTCATAGCAGAGATCCTAAAATTATGATAGCTAAGTTAGGTAGAAATTAATATATAGTCAAGGGGGACTGGGTGGTCAAGGAACTCAGAACAAAAAATAAAGACATCAGAACTGTCATTGGATGTGCACTGTTGAAGGACCACCCTCAAGATAAAGATGGAATGACCAGGCCTGTGTGCCTTCCTAAGGGAAGGGCAGTAACTTGGAAACATACTATAATAGGTATCACTGGTCAAATAAAGTCCAGTTAGACATTAGTCACCTAGGTAAGCGACCAGAGCCTCTGGACCCATCCCTTTCCGAAAATGCCTTTTTTCTTTCCATGTGACCTGCTTCCCTACTGGACCAATATTATGTAAGCACTTATACTAGTAACTGTATAGGTTGATTACAGTTTGACCCGCATTGTAACTTTATTGTATAAATTACCCTGACAAAGATCACAGTGGTAACCCACTTCTGGGACCCTTCCTGTCTATCAGGAACTATTCGTGTTCCCCAATAAATCATTTCTACTCTTAACCTCTATTGTCCTTTGGAATTTACTATTTGATTTCAGGGAACAGAAACTCAGTATATTTGACATCTAGCAGGTTGAGAGTTATATTTCCCCTTATATCAAAATCACTTAAGCTAAGGTTTCATCAGAATGCTTATTAGCTCTTCCACGAAAATGATTTGCCTGGAGAGAAAATCAGTTAGCAATGGCTCTTCATTTCATTATGATACTGTTTTATGCACCTTTCTTGGATACTTTTCAACCAAAACAACAACAGACGTTACACAGAAACACAATTTTAGCTCCAAATGGCAGGTGAAGGTTTCACTTTCAGCACGATTCTGTATGTGTGTGTACGTGGCACGTTTCCCTTTAGACAACATCTAATGCAGTTTATTTAACTGTCTGGCCTGTCATCATTTCCTTCCTATGTACTGTGCTACATTTTACATTAGGACTTTAGAAATTTTAGCAATGCAGGGACTAAAGTAATGCAAATCTTTCTAATTTTCTGTTAATCTTTCAGCATAACTCATTCATCTTGTTCAAACTAACTCCAAAATATGACAGCACTGCATACTAAAATTTGAAAAATGAAATTTAACAAATAAACATTAAAAATAACAGAAGCAACAATTCTATATCCTCTAGCAGTCAACTACTAATCTCTTGAAAGGGCAATCTATGGTTACAACCCATAAAAATAGTTTTAGAAGCTAATTAGTCATATAGAGAATTCTGAATCAAGTATTTTTAGGGAACAAAAAAAAAAAAAAAAAGAAAAAAGAAAAAAAAATCCAAGGGAATAGCCCAAAGCAGTAGTTTCCTCTTTTCCAACATAACCACAAACACAGAAAATTCTGTGTATTAAAAATACAATCCACTGTTATTATTCCTTTTCTAATATTTTAAAACTTAAGTCACACTGGTATTTACTCTGAATCCAGTTATTTACTATTTTTACATTATAATTTTTCTTCAAACGCTTAATGTAGCAACACACATGAACCCCTGAATAACTGCATTTATTTTCGGTTTGTCCACCACATGTGCTGATAGGTGACTGAATCAAATCATGAGTTTTCCCTAAAAGGTTTCTGTGGGCTACTTAAAACAATAAATCTCAAAAAAAATTAATAAACCTCAGTCTATGTTTCTGAAAAATATAATCTCTGAAGAAAAAGTTAAAATGCCAGAAAAAGTAAAATGCCATGTGATAGAAAAAAGTGAGATTTTTTTTCCCCTTTTATAAATACCTGAAGATTAAAGGGAAAGCTTTTGCTTACAGAAAATATATTCTTTGCTTCCATTTTAGGATGATGTTTACCAAAATATCATAAATACTTAATAGCAACTGTTCCTAGTGCTTCCAGCAAAGGCAGTAAAATGAAACATAAAGCTGAGCGGCAAAAGCCAGGGAGCTTTCTGTGCATTTCATCACCCAGCTTCCGGTGGCTGCTGAGGAGAGCCCGGATTCTAATGATCTCCAGAAACAGCTCCACTGCATTCCAAACAGAGATATTATTTGCTCCAGGAAAACTATGAATCACTTAAACGGAAAGAACAACAGTCAGATACTCTCAGGGGCTGCTTCAAGGGGCCTGACTGACAGCTAAGAAATACCAGCATTGGAAAAGGAAGTAATCACACATTGCAATCCAAATTTTTATTTTACACTCTTCCTATAAAGCCTATAAAAACTCTCAGGTTATCGAGACAGTTAACTTCATGCTCAAAGCGTGGAAGTGTCTCAGACTGCTTATGAAAACATTAAATTTGAAATCATGAGCTCAAGTTCACAGAGCTCAACGAGGAAGAATCAATACCAAATCTCATTCACAAATAAAATCCAGGTCATCAGCAAAGACAAGGTGTTTGCCAGAGCGAACAAACCTCTTTCTCATCAGGCTTCATTCACGTAAGGGCTAACCGTACCAGATATTACCAGGATTTCTTTCAGGTTAAAAGGCATGTAAGATTATCGGCTTTTTCTGCCCCCAAAGATATACTCACAGAATTGATTATTCCTCTAAGAGCCTGAAAACCACCCTTCACAGGAAAAACTTGCTCCTTGGAATCAGCAATTCTTTCAAGCTTCAGGAAAAGGAGGAAAACTTAATTAAGGGGTGATAAAGACACAGTACTTTATAAACTTACGTTTAAGCTTCCATATAAAATTATTACGTTTTAGTTATGTCCTGTCTCCTCGAGGTTAATTCTCCAGGTTGACCTGTTGTTAGGTCCAAGAGCTAAAGTCAGCCTGTACATCGGCATTTAGTTGCAATTTCAGATGGGCAAAGAGGCTGAACAGCCACTAATGAGACTTGGGAGTCTAAGCCACACACAAGCAAAATTTTAAATGTAAAATGATTTTACAAGGAAGAAAAAATTAAACTTTCAAATCTCTATGAGAAAAGAAGTAGTGCTATAAGAAAAACTATTGAAAGTTTGCAAATGGACCTCCCAACCCCTATACATCTACAAGTCAAATTTTAAATCAAAATAAGAATTCTAAATACAGACTGTCACGATTATCTTGTCAGCTGAAAGGATTTTTCGGATCATTTTAATATACATGTTTATCTTATATTAATTCCCCAAACTAAATAAATGCTTGATAAGTCATTAGTGAAACAAAATTGTTAAACAATCCTTAAGACAATTACGCGATCTACAGTTTATAGAGCTATTGTAACTCACCTGAGCTTGTTCAAAATCAAGGACACCCACACAGTAAACATTAGCCCCAAGTGACCTGGATAACTTTGCCTAGAGAATTAGAGAAGGGTACAAAGAAAGAGAAGCAGCAGAGAGGGAGGGGAGGGAGAAGAAAGAGGGGGAGAGGAAGAGGAAGGAATCAGAGAGACACAAGGGGAGGTGAGGGAGGGGAGGGGAGACAAGAGGAGAAGATGATTATTCAAACATCAAGCTACACAGGCTGCAACATACAGCAAAGTACACTAGTGAGGTATAAAGAAGTTTCCATTCAACACTCACCTCTTTCTCCGCATATGATGGCACCAGACCGTCCAGCTTACCATCTGTCAGAGCAATTATGATACTGGAGGTTTTTGAGCCTCCTGCTTTCTGAATTTGTTCATTCGCCTAAAAATGAAGAATAATTACCCAACTCACAATTTAATTTTAACTTTTAACCAGCATGTTCCATCAAACTGGATTTTAAGCCTGACAAAATAAAAATATTACTAGCTTTTAAAATGGCACTTTTGATAACCGTTTTATTTGATGCATATATTCAGATTATATATATTCAGCCAATAAGAGTAGTTATTATTAGGTTTAAATAATAAGAAGTTATGGCTGACTAATACAAATATAATCACAGAAGAAGATGAGAAATTTGAGGGACAAAATTCACCCAAACTTTTCTTATCACCACAGTGAATAATGTTTTCTACTAGTTTCATCTCCAGAATAACTAAAAGCTTAAAATTTTGTGAAAATAAAAATGAAGTTTTTCAGCATTGCTAAAGATTGTATTTCACTACAAAATGAGAAAGAATTTTCTTCTATACGTACAAATGTAAAATAACTTACAAGCTTTAGTCCTTCGTGGATATATGTCTCTCCTACTGGACTGACACGTTTTAAATCTTCTAACCCTTTTTGGATTTTGCCTCTGAAAATAACATATTATAATATTAAGTAAAAAGAAAATGCGGAAAGGCCACAACAATATTGCAATTATAATACTCCTGTAAAAAGTAGAGGACAGGGTGTGCGCCTGGAGAATAGTGAATTCCTCCTACTTTCTGTCATTTAATAATTGCTTAATAATCCTGTATTCTATCAGAGAGTAGCAGTACTAAAAATATCTTAAAAATCTAAGCGCATTCCAGGCATTTTGAGCTGAGTATAGATATCTGCAATCACATTTGTTTGCCTAGATGCTAAGGAGTGAAAAACTTTCTCTGGTCCACAAAAATGCAAGAATTGAGTAGTTCCATAATAAACTATTACTGAAATACTCATCTGCCTCCCTAAAAGTGAGAAAGTTTATTATCTGCAAACTCACAAAGCAATTACTTAACCGTTACTTAGAAAAATTGACTTTCTCTAGGTTAGCTTTTTTGTGTTTATGTACATAAAAGTGTGTCTGAATAAACTGTAACACATCAAAAACAGCAAAAATAAAATTAATGCTGCAAGCGTGTGCTTTAAATATCAGAAACACATGAGCCATTCACCATAGTCTGATATATGTTTTAAAAGTAACTTCTTGACAATACTTTAATATCACAATGCAAGTTTTTATCAGGTTCTCCATCTCAAGAAGTTTCTTGCACAAGACAGCTTTCAAGTTCATGAGTCTGACCTTCTTCTTTTCCAGTTCAGTCATTTCTACCAATCCTCTCAATTTCTCTTACAATACATAGTTTTTAAAAAGTCTACCTACTCTAAGCCATTCTCTGAATTTCATTACCCTCCCTTTTTTTTAAACTTTTTTATTCTATGAAAAAATTTTAAAATATCACAATAAAATAAGAGAATGACAATACTGAATACATTAGGTATCACTCTTTTCAAAGTTACTCAAAGTACAAAACATAAGTCAAGAAGATTCTTACAGAAAAGAACCAAATATTAATGCAAGAGTTTCTTTTCAACAAACTGAGATGAAGTAGGAGTATAAATGAAACAAATTGGTATATACATAGATAGATAGATAGATAGATAGATAGATAATTTTGAAAGCATGAAAGATGTAACTTGGACAAATATTCTCCCTACTTTCTATTTATCTATCTTCTATTTTGCTTTTTATTTATATATAATATATATGCACTGTACATAAATTTATTCTAAGCTTTCTATTCATATCTATATTGAACTTCTATGATTTTAAAAAATTACCTCTTAAAAATATTCTTCTTTAAAATAATTTAACTAAATTATTTTATACTTTTACTTCTTAATTAAGATGGAAGATTATAATGAGCTATCACCAAGTCTCTTACTTATGATATAGTCCCCTGCTCTGCACTTACTATACTATCTTTTGCAAAGTAAATGCTCAATTAAGTTTTTAATCTATGATAGAAAACATTACAATTCCACAGACGATGCAGTAAATTACATAATTTATAAGCTTGTTTTAATTGAATATTTTAGTTTGATATCTTCGGAAACAACTTGAAACTTATTTTGTCTGCATGCAGATAAAAATCAAATATTTGGTGCTTCTAGAAATGAGTGGTAGTGTGTCCACAAGCATTAACTTTTGCTGCCAAAGGGAAATGAGAGAGACAGCAGAAATACGAGTTTAGGCAAACAGAATTTGCATGATAAAAACAGCCTTCTCCCTGAAGTTCAGACCAGCTCCCAAAGGGTTATAAGGAGAAGACAATACTCATAGAGGGCTCTGAGTAGAAGGCCCTGGCCAAAGATAATGAGTCTGGGTAAAACCAGTCTGCTCAGTTATTTCAATGGAACAGATGGAGCACTTCCTGTTCTCTAGCCACACCCACACCTGCCTCCTTGAGAGTCCAAGCTGCACTGAATCTATCATTACTTTGGTAGCTGCAGTCACAAGCAAATGCTTCCCCCTCCCCCGTAGCCAGTAACAACAGCTCATGGACTACCAGTAACAGTCCAACATCGTCTGGCATTGGGCTCCTCCCTGGGTACCCAGGCCACCAGCCCGCTCTCAATTAGTAAATGCCACTGGCTAATGGGATGCAAAATAAGACAGCATGGATCGTAGGGCTTCAAAGGACCCCAAGCAACTAAAAATAAATTCTAAGTCTCTCGATTAATAAACAGAGAAAAACAAAGTGACAGGGTACGTCATTAAAACAGAGTTTGTTCATCCACACTGTGATGCTAAAACTCTGAAAGGAAAGTAAGCAGAAAAATAAAGATGGGGGAGAGAAGGAACTGGAGAGAGAAAAGAAGTGGCAAGTAATGCTTGCTATAAAAACAAACTCAAATTCAGTATTATCTTAGAAGACCATCTTCATTAAGTTCCTCTTTGACACAATGTCTTCAATAACCAGCGGTAGTAATACTGAAACTACTTCACTATTTGTTGTGAAGCAGTTGGCAAGGATACTGTCATGTAACATCGCCTGCAAAGTACACAGCAGAAGTATCTTGTCATCACTCAGTACTGCTTTATGCTTCCCCTTTTTGCTGTTTACCACTACGTACACTTACTTCTCTTGCCCTAACTACTGGGAGCCCACAGTAATTTTCTTGCTTGTTCACAAAATTCCATTGAGCCCTTATACTTATCAAATGGGTTCCCGCTCTTTTCTAAAATCTTAACTTTTGTTTTTTATTAATTTTCTGCAATATATTATGTTCTATATAGCCTCAAGTAATGTTTTAGAAAGAAACAGGATTTAAACAAATGAAATATTTTGTTAAACCTCTGTTTTTTAAATTGAAAAGTTAGATGTCCAAACTCTATAATCAACTGGAGGAAGACAAAAGAAAAGAAGAGGAAAGAGGGAGGAAAAGAGAGGAAAAAAAGGACAATTACATGCTGACTCATTTCTTTTAATCTATGAAATATTCAACTGTTTCCGTCCCTCAAATTTCTTGTCTAAGAAAGAAAGGAGAGGAGAGACAGAAGGGAAGACCTCAAAATTCTGAATTCATCCAAGATCAAGGACTTCTGAAAAGCTAATTTAAAAGACTTTCACATTTTGCTGGAATGACTTATCCTTTACCTATTTTGTTGTTCAGTCTATTTGAAGGGTTTGAGGTAAATGTAAAAATCTCTTAAATCATAAATACGTAAGTACGTATGGAGGTGAGCATAGCTTGACAGAACATAGACTAATTTCAACCAAATCTCGCTTCTTCCTCTATAAAAATATCTCACTTTGGGGCCACTGTGAGGACTAACGCACATAGTGAGCACTAAACTATGGTGACTGCTGTTGTCACTGTGATCTTTGTTATTGCTCAATTAGCATGACACTGCCCATCAAGTTTACTTCTACCTGACTCTAAGCAGAGCTCAGACAGCACAGTGAGGATCATCCTTTAGTGTAGAGATCAAAGGAGGAGGGAAGGGAAACAAAAAGACAAAAAGAACGCATTATATTAAAACTCTAGTGAGGTGGGGAGAACTTGGAAAAGCCACAGATACCACATCAGCAGGTTCAACCAACTGTGAGTTTAAATATGAAAGGAAAGCATGCAGCTCTACTGAACACATGCAGACTTTTTGTCCTTGTTTCCTAGATAACATAGTACAACTCTCACATGGCACTTAGACTGCATTAGCTGTTATAAGTAATCCAGAGATGACCTGAACTTCAAATGTGTACTTTAACGTATACAGGATGACACATAGAGATTGTATGGAAATACTATGCTACTTTAAATTATATTAGGAAATACTATGGTGCTTTATTTATGCACATATAGATTTTTGGTATCTGCAAGTGTTCCTGGAACAGATACTGAGGGATGACTATATATGGAAAGCCAGATAATGAGGTAGGAAATGTCAGAGATTGCAGTAAATCAGAGATAAATTTTTAAGTCTGTTAGGCAAATATTGCACTGCATAACTAGAAGAAGCTACTTAATTTCCCAGAGTTCAGTTCTTGCAACCCTGAGATGCAAATAACAATGCCTGCCTCAATGTTTGTTAATTCAACAGCTATTAACTAAATATTCACTATGATATTTACAACATAATGTCCTTTGTTATCTTTGAGCATTCAGAAGGTTGTGAGTTCTACACAAGGGCTACTAAGTCAAAGGGAAGAGAAGAAAAAGATGAGTATTGCCCAAAGATGCCATCTTCATTTTCATTTCTCCTTAAAGTGCTGTGCTGCTCTTCTAGAAAGCCTACAGATAACCAGGCATGGTGATGCACATCTGTAATCCCAGCCCTCAGTAAGCTGAGGCAGGAGGTCAGCCTGGGCTACAAAGCAAGTTCAAGGCCAGCGTGAACTGCACAGCAAAAACCTGTCTCAAAAAAAAAAAACAAAAAAAAACAAAAAAACAAAACAAAAAACAAAAGAAAGCAAAGAAAGGAAAAGAGAAAGAAAGAAAGAGAGGAAGGAAGGAAAGAAGGAAGGAAGACAAGACAGATAAGACAAGACAAAACCCACAGACAGATGTAGGCTGGATTTGAAGGGAGAGGACATCATAAGGGTAAGATATCAAGCCCCTGTGGCCAAACTGCTTGGCCTCAAATTATACCTCCTCTACTTCTCATATTTTTAATTCACAAATCCTTGAAAGTTGGAGTTTAACAAAGTATTCAAAATCCAGATAGGGAAAAGGAAATACACTAATCTATTCTACCTTACTCAAGAAAAAAAAATAGTGATAATCTTAAAAGTGAAAAAGAATGTACTATTATTATTAACAAATGGATATTATTTTCTATAAAAGAAAGAAATTAATAAATAAAAGTAAAGGACATTTGCCATTCAAACTTTGCTGTAATGGGTTACTTGATTGAAGGGAAATCTAAAAGCTAATGAGAAAAGGTTCAATCTTATTTGATATTTTGGATTACATACTTTTAACTACAAACTGATATAATTAACTCATAAAGGGATTCACTGTATAGTTTTATTGATATTTTTCATATAAATTACAGTAGAAAAATCTCCAAATGGGATTTGTCAACTTTTCCCCGCTATATAT